TGGTCTCCCCATGGGATCCAACCCCTCGGCGGGAGCGCCGCCGCGCGCTCTCCAGTGCGCCACCGGGCCGGCCCTTTTTTTGTCCTTTTTTTTTGTCCTTTTTGAGACCGGCCGCACCTTGCTCAGCCAGTGAGCATTGTGAGCGCACTGGTCATCCCTATATAGGATCCGAACCCGCGGCGGGAGCGCTGCTGCGCTCCCAGTGCCACACTCTCCCGAGTGTGCCATGGGCTCGGCCTTAATCACAATTTTAACATTTCTGAAAGTGTAATCTTTCAACAAATGTTTGATTTTAAGCTATTTTTAATTTTAGCAGATGAAACTTTTATCATTTTATAGGAAGGCTACTATTTTGAAGAAGAGATGCTGAAAGAAAAACCAAGAACGAAGAAAATAAATTAGAACCCTAGCATAATGTGATATGTGGGGTCCAAAAATTTCAATCACCTGAAAAGCTCAGTAGCTTTGTTAACAGGCACAGGCAGTTCCAACTGCATGTCCCCTTTCAAAAGCAAAGCACTCAAAAGTCAAATGTTGGTGAAAATGGAAGTCAGCTTTATTCAGGAACACCAGTGACCTGAGGAGAGATGTTAGGCTGACCCTTCTCTCTGGTAAAGCTAAAGGAGGATGGCCAGACTGAAGCCATCTCAAAGACTCTGATTTACTGAGGGGTTTCTAAAGAGGAGGTGGAGGGAGGAGACAGTGGGAAATGAAAAGCAGGAGTGAGGGGGACGTGAACTGTGGGAGCTCCATGAACAGAGCCAGGTGCAAGGTCTTGCCAAGGCTCCATCTGTTTTGTGCTCCCGTCCTTGCTGTTATCTCAAGGTCCTGCTGGAAGGGTGGAATCGGTTTAGTTTTACTGACATCTTTCTTGGTTTCCCAGGGTCTCAATAGCACATGCTAGTCTGCAAGTCTGCAGTTCCAGGCTGATTGGAAAACAACTTTACATTCATGTAAATAAGGTCATCTTCCCCATAACCAAGGCTCAAAATATCAAGTAACCAGGGAAAACAGGGAAAACTCACTCCATGAGTAGCATCCACCTGGGCTGCTCTGCATTTCCCCATGGGATATAGAGACTGTGGGGAACCAATCTGGATACAAAACCCTTGCTGCCTGCTATGCCATGAGCAATAAAGCCCTTTGTCTCTTAAAAAAATGCTGTATGTCACATCTGAGTTTCTTGGTCTCACATGGAGGGATAAAAGTGTGTGATTTAGGCTGACCTCTTGGCTCAGTTGGTTAGAGCACAGTGTTATAACACTATAATGCCCAGGTTAAAGGTTTGGATCCCTGTACCAGCCCATTCCCCCTACCCCCAAAAGTGTGTGATTTGCTGTCTCTTGGAAAAATCTTGACAAACTATCTAACCTGAGTTATTGCACACTGGTTCCTCTCATTTCCAAGGGGAAGATTAATATAAATGCTGATGTGCTGATCTCATTTACAATGGGTCATATTATGTTTATGGCATTAAACAACTTCATATATTCTACTTTTCTATTCAAATGTCTGTTTTTATATTAATCACAATTTTTTTTTTTGGTCTTTTTTTTTTTCCTCTTTGTCTTTTTTACTGACCGGTAACGGGATCACAACCCTCGGTGTCACGCCCGTACCGGGGACTGGCAAGGGGATCGCAGTGTTGCGCCCCCACCGCGCTCAGCCAGTGAGCGGGAACTGGTCTCCACATGGGATCCAAACCCTCGGCGGGAGCGCCGCCGCGCGCTCTCCAGTGCGCCACCGGGCCGGCCCTTTTTTTGTCCTTTTTTTTTGTCCTTTTTGAGACCGGCCGCACCTTGCTCAGCCAGTGAGCATCCAGTGCGCCACCGGGCCGGCCCTTTTTTTGTCCTTTTTTTTTGTCCTTTTTGAGACCGGCCACACCTTGCTCAGCCAGTGAGCATTGTGAGCGCACCGGTCATCCCTATATAGGATCCGAACCCGCGGCGGGAGCGCTGCTGCACTCCCAGTGCCACACTCTCCCGAGTGTGCCACGGGCTCGGCCTTAATCACAATTTTAACATTTCTGAAAGTGTAATCTTTCAACAAATGTTTGATTTTAAGCTATTTTTAATTTTAGCAGATGAAACTTTTATCATTTTATAGGAAGGCTACTATTTTGAAGAAGAGATGCTGAAAGAAAAACCAAGAACGAAGAAAATAAATTAGAACCCTAGCATAATGTGATATGTGGGGTCCAAAAATTTCAATCACCTGAAAAGCTCAGTAGCTTTGTTAACAGGCACAGGCAGTTCCAACTGCATGTCCCCTTTCAAAAGCAAAGCACTCAAAAGTCAAATGTTGGTGAAAATGGAAGTCAGCTTTATTCAGGAACACCAGTGACCTGAGGAGAGATGTTAGGCTGACCCTTCTCTCTGGTAAAGCTAAAGGAGGATGGCCAGACTGAAGCCATCTCAAAGACTCTGATTTACTGAGGGGTTTCTAAAGAGGAGGTGGAGGGAGGAGACAGTGGGAAATGAAAAGCAGGAGTGAGGGGGATGTGAACTGTGGGAGCTCCATGAACAGAGCCAGGTGCAAGGTCTTGCCAAGGCTCCATCTGTTTTGTGCTCCCGTCCTTGCTGTTATCTCAAGGTCCTGCTGGAAGGGTGGAATCGGTTTAGTTTTACTGACATCTTTCTTGGTTTCCCAGGGTCTCAATAGCACATGCTAGTCTGCAAGTCTGCAGTTCCAGGCTGATTGGAAAACAACTTTACATTCATGTAAATAAGGTCATCTTCCCCATAACCAAGGCTCAAAATATCAAGTAACCAGGGAAAACAGGGAACTCAGAGAAATGCATGTCAAGAAAAAAAACTGCGTCCTTTAAAAATCTTTTAGAGCCCATGTGGTTTTAGGTCCCAACGTGGCTTCAGTCCTGCTCACTCCAACAGCCTTACTTCAAGGTTGACAAAATGGGTATGTGAGCCTGACAGTTTATTGGAGTGGGCTTCCAGGAGGCTGGCTGCCAGATGTAAATTCATCCAAGTTCATGGTGTCATTTGGTGGCAGTTGTCTCCTCAGGCAAGATTGGAAGGAATGATTCTGGGTCCTGGGACTGGCAGGAATTTCCAGGAAAATGGTGGCAATTCCAAGAATCACCCAATTAGTTCATTTCCAGGGAAATTGGACTGCAAAATACTGAGGACGTGGATGTTTTCTCCCACTTCCTGAGGGGTTCCCTGTCTGGCCACTCTCCCCCTGAACAACATAATCTTTATCAGCACTCACTCACTTTGAGAATGGGGCTGGCTGTCCCTGTTGCAGGGCACCTTGTCCAGGGGTTTACTTTACTTTGATTAACACATTGGACCAAAAGGTGAGACAAAAGTCGTATGCAAATAAATATGTTTTTGAAGGCATCACATATTGGCTCTATATGTCAGCCTGTTTTAACAGCTCATTCTAATCTAGTCAACTAATTTTTCTCGCTTCATCAAGTATTTACTGGCAGGAATGTTCCTAACACATTTAGAAAAGAAACCAAATCTGCATTATGCAGCCAGCATCATTGTATTTCTAGTTTCATGCATGGTGGTTATCGAGCTATATTGAATGTACTTCTAATTAAAAAGAGGGAGGGAGTCTCCAAAGCTTTGTCAATGTTGTCTTATCTTTTGTTTTTGTTTGTGCAGCTCACCATGTTAAAACAGGAACTTGCGAGGTGGTGGCACTCCACAGATGCTGTAATAAGAACAAGATAGAAGAACGGTCACAAACAGTCAAGTGCTCCTGCTTCCCTGGGCAGGTGGCAGGCACCACGCGAGCTGCTCCATCTTGTGTGGATGGTGCGACTTCTTCCATTGCTCATTGTGATAGCATGGGCGGGGACTGCTTAGAGCTGGAATCCCACTATAATGCTCTCAACTGGGGTGAATCCTGGGGGATCACACTAGAAACCACTTGGTTGAAATGAGATTATTTGGGGGCATTTTGAAATCTTATCTCCTTTGGAAGGAGGTCTAAGATCTTATGCAGTTCTGTTACAAAAGGCATTATAATGTGGTTCCATTAAGTCAATGTGCTTCTTATTTTGATAACATGCGATATTGATTTCCTGGTGGATGGTGGGAGAAGGGGTGTATATAAATTAACTGGAAAAGGAAAGGTAAGAATGGATGATTTAGTAGTATGGGTTTTTAAACTCATGGATGTTTCTTAAGAACAAGAAAAATCAATGCCATATATATGAGTGAATGTTTGGTTGTGAATAGAATTCACCCAAAGTATCAATTTTTATGAAAATGCATCAAAAATATTAATGTCTTTCTTAGACAGTTCATCTGATTATAAGAGTCCTTATATGAGTTTATTTAATTGATGTTACTGTAAATAGTATTTTGTAAAAATGCTTATATTAGCATGATCTATTTTTTCTGATGAGTTTACTGCTCACAGTAAAAAAAAATGTGTTAACTCTAACACCCTCTTGTTTTCAGTCTACTCATGAATTGTATTGATCATTCATTCTAAAATATGGGCTCTAAACTTGTCACAGGTGCATTTTCTTATATGTGTATATAAATTGGTGAATCACATGGTCACCAAGTTTCCTTTCAATATATTAGTTTTCATGAAACCTATATTTTCACCCCAAAACCCTTCAACATTGTACCTATAGTTAATAATAGTATAGTTATAGTATTGTGAACAATAGTACTGTTAACTATAGGTACAATGTATTGGGTTGTACATAGTATATTGTGCACTTAAACATTTTTTTAAGAGGATAGGTCTCATGTTAAGTGTTCTTACCACAATAAAACTAAATTTAGAAAAAAGAAAAATTCTTTTAGTTAGAAAATCTTGAAAGATTTTGTTCTTTGGACAAAAAAAGAAGCATGCCTCAAAACCCAGTCTTCCCAGTAGTAGAAAAAAAATCGGTAGCTTTTGTTTCTCTTTAAATGTGTCTTGAAAGATTTTGTTCTTTGGACAAAAAAAGAAGCATGCCTCAAAACCCAGTCTTCCCAGTGGTAGAAAAAAAATCGGTAGCTTTTGTTTCTCTTTAAATGTGCACCCAGAGAACTAACAGTCCCAATAGAAAATACTGAGTCAATTTTTCTCTATCCTGTAGCTTCAATAGTGGAACAAAAATGGTGGTGCCACATGCAGCCATGTCTAGAGGGAGAGGAATGTAAAGTTCTTCCGGATCGGAAAGGATGGAGCTGTTCCTCTGGGAATAAAGTAAAAACAACTAGGGTAAGTGAACAGCCAGCTTGGGAAAGCAAAAGTGTCTCTGAGTTGATGGAGAATGGTGCATGTGCAGTAACCTCATCAATATGATTGTGGAATAAGAGAGTATAGTTTTGCATAGTATGTTTTTATACTCATATTTTTCCTTAATTCTTTTCTCATAAAACGTTTTTATTATACTCAGAATAACATCTTCTATAGATTACCATCAACTGTCATGTGTTCTGATAAATAAACACTGTTTCTTCATGAGATACTGACAGTGATGTGAAACCTCCTGAGGATGCATGTTGAATGCTGCAAAAGAGACACCAATCTCTTTTTTTCCCTAATGTATAGTAACCTGAATAACTTCTGGAAAAAAATTATTTTTTCCATTTTATTAAATTTATTTTTTCTTAATTGGCATGTAATAATTGTATATATTTATGGTGTAAATTGTGATATTTGGGTGTATAGGTACAATGTGCAATAATCGAATGAGGGTAATTAGCATGTCCATCACCACAAACATTTATCATTTCTCTGTGTTGGGAATATTCAAAATTCTCTCCACTAGCTATACAAAATTATAACATGAGGCTGTTGTTAACTGTAGTCTTCCTACAGTGCTCTAGAACACTAGAACTTACTCTTCCTAAAAAATAAAAAACTTATTTTA